TGTAACAAAGGGATAAAAAAATTAAATTCTTTGTGTTCAATACATACTAATTTACATTTAATCTCTTTTGGTTCTAAGACGATCAAAGTATGGGTACTATTCTGCTGACATCTTGATTTGTATATCGCAAGATGAGACGATTTTATTGGATATTCAAAAACGTCTTCTGTGTTGTTGATTTTATTTCCTTTAATCAAAATCTTATTGTGGTTGAATTTTACGCAGCAAATTTTAACAACCTCGTTGCATTTGGTAAGTAAATAACTGTCTTTTTCTTTGCTGGAAAGTTTAAAATCTTCAAAATTTAATACATTATTGTTTTTAATTGTGTTCACAAAAGGATATTTCTTGTCTTTATGTGTTTGAAAATGAATATCATCCATATTTTCAGCCAATCGTTTGGCAACTTGAGACAGTGGTTTTCTTCCTGATCTCAACATACTTTTGATCATAAATAACATATTCTCGAAGGGATATGCGTTGAATGTCATCAGAGGGCCAAACATTTCAATTTCATTCGTCAGGTGTAGTAAGTTGTGTATGTTGCTTGTAACGTAGCCTGAACCATAGAAGTCTTTGTAAAATTTTACAAAATGTTCCAGAAGCTCCTTTGCTAATGGCAACAAAGTTCGGTATGTTTCTGTTGAGCAGATTGTTATACTACAATATAGTGTTAAGAAATGATTATAAGCTTCATTGTTCATAACATCAGGCAAAATGACAATACTTAAATAATGAAAAAATGCTCTAAATTCTGACGCTTTCCAATGTGCTAATGAATCTAAACCTCGCACTGCTCGATGCACTTCTGAAGGCAGTTTGCAGTTGCATAGAAAATTTGAAACCAGTGCAATATCACTTGCCCGCATTTTAGTAATATATTTGCCAAAGTTGCCGTCACGCCAACCAATCAGTAATCTCTTCATAACACCCAAGTCGATCAAATGAAGTGAATCGGCTACAATAAATTGGTTCACCATGTCAATAGGAAGATTTAATAAAGGAGAGTCATTTTTATGATGCAAGCCATAAATTTTGTTTCTAAATCCTTCATTTGTCCTTTCAGGACACAAAGACTCAGAAAATGTGACGGTATGTGTGGTATGCGAATATTCTCCAACTGTAGTACATTTATGGCAGCCGTGTTTACCGTTAATATTGCAGACTCCTGCAAAAAAATATTTTAAATCAAGTTATAATAATATAAGCAAAAAGTTAATAAATTTCAAATAATTGTGTCATGTGCGGATCGTACCTACGAACCACAGAATAGAAGGCAGTTTCACTACCAACCATCTGAGCTATCAAAGTTATCTAGAAATACTAAGAGATGCATCAATAATTTCAACTAGTTATTTATCGATATTGGGTGCATAATGGCGATAATATGCGACACTAAGATAGACTTACCTTTAATATAAGCTCTAGCTGGCGAGTCACAAATGAAGCATCTGATTTGTATCTTTATAGTTTTCTCTAAGCGCTCAACTACAAGACCTTCTTCTAATAATATCTTCATGTCATTTACAAAATCTTCTAAAAATTCATTTAATTTTTTTGGTTTTCCTTTCCCAAAATAGATTCCAATAATAAAAGGCCGAATCCTGGGATTTTCAAAAATGTTACCTAATATGGGCCAAAATTCATTTGTGGAACTTTTAAAAATAGGCAAACCATCCACATTTATGTTAATTGAAATCATATCTGGAATATCCGTCCAATTTAGCAAAATGCTCTTCAAAGGTTTTGCTATCCCATTGTGCCAGTATTGACCTCCTTCTACATTTTTTAAAATGACATTAACGGGAGTGCATAAAAATGTTCTAGCATCAGAAGGTAGTGTTCCTGGTTTAAATTCGTTTATTATGTTTGACAATTTATTCAAAGCAGAATGAGGAATACGATTTTCATTAGCCCATGTTCTTATTTTTTTGCGAAAGGTTAAACAATTATCCAAATCAAAATTGTATTCACTATCACTAGAACTGCAATCACCACACTCAGATATCTGTATATTTTGAAGGGAACTTTCAAGTTCAGGCATAATATTTTCCTCTGGATCATGTACGGAACCACCAACAACGGTTGAAGTCGCACTTGTTGAAGCCTTATCGACGGGCTCATTTCCGGGCGTCGTTGTCAATCGACTGTTTATTTTCAAATATTCTTTTGCAATTTTTCTTCTTATTCCACCGGTTCTCGCTCTTATTTTCCAAGATTTTTTATACATTTTCACAAATTTTATTGCACGTGACGTAAAAACATACTTTGCAATGGCGCTTGGGAAAAAGTGTAATAGAATATCACATTCACATTCATGTTCAGCTTACAGCAAATAAAAGTAGTACTTGTGGACAAATAAACTGCTATTGATGTTAATGGACAACACATATAGTCCTTCTAACAGCCTACAGTCCACATGTGAATTATTTAAACACTTCTATACAGATAGTAAAAAAAGGTTATTTTAAGTATCACAAACAAGTCCTTATACAGCAACTGGCTGTATAACAGTCTAAAACAAGTAAACATAACAGCCTTGGGCTTTATAAATGACCACAAGTGTTCTATTAAAATGCTAGCTCTATAACATCGAACAAGTAGGCCGTTAAACAGAGGTTGCCGTATCTCTACCCTCCTATAATGCTCTTAGTCAGAAAGCTGACTAAAGGGTAGTTGTTAGAGTATTATAACACCCATAATCGTATAAAAGTATTACTCTACACTCCTATACGTCCCTTAGAAAGGTATAGGTGTAATTAATTGCAATAATGCAGCTAATAAATCACGAGTGAACTGTAGTAATGCTTTAAGTTCACCTTGGAACTAAATGTGTACTCTTAAATGGAATAAAATGCTACTTGGGATGTGAGACTGTTTTGTTGTGATTGGTGTAGACCGGTATTCCTCTACCTAACTAAAAAATTAATTAAGCATGCATGTTTGAAAATAAGAACAATAATTTCCCTTATCATATTATAAAGAAGCTTGGTATGTTTTGACCTACGTGGCCGAGTGGTATGAACGCCAGAATTCAAGGTGTCGCCTACTCAAGACAAGCCTTACAGTGCTTACTTTGGGGCTAGGCTAATTGGTGTGAGTGTTGGAAATATTTATTATTATTTATTTAATTAACTATTGATTAATAACTTCTCATCAGCCTGTTAATGTCCCCTTGGCTTCAGCACAGGCCTTCCCTATAGATAAAATAACAAAATGGGCCGTGAACCACTCCGCAGACAGGTTAGGCCTTGTGGGCGGGGCAAGCACGCCACAATTATGCGTGAGAAAATGCTCATAATTTGACCAAACTTTGGTACTGATTGCGTCGTTGCTCTTCGGTGTGAGCGCTGATTGGTTCGCTCGTTTGATGTCTCGTCGTTTGATTGGCTATTATTTATTAGGAGGAAGTGTAGTGGGGGCGAGCCCGCCGTATTCGGGTAGTTTTCGTTTTGTTTACCCGACACCGTCTTCCAGCCCGTGTTCCAGTGTGAATATTGCTTCGGGTGGCCGATTTCGAGGCCGATGACTAAATGGACTCTTTATTTTTCTTAAAAAACTTAAAGCACGTCAAAATTTGGAAGTGCGGTCTAGTGACGTCACTTCTAAGTAAAAATTGTATCAAGATATGACGCCATGCAAAATTTTAAATCTAATACTCTGTTTCTTGATTATTTATACAAATAAAAAACGAGCGAGAGTTACAGTAGTAGCATATGATGTCTAACATTTGAAACCTCATCTTATATAAGTAAATAAAGAAATAAAACCTACTACAAAAGGAATAAGCCATTTGAACATTATGTTCTAAAATCAAATCAAATAGCGCGCGCTTTTGCGACTTCCCGTTACACACTTCCGTCGCATTTCACGAAATCACACACACCAATTGCAGGAAAGCGAGAGGAAAGATGTTGCACATCAAAAAAACGTTTCCAGTACTTTTTGATATGACAAAGAAGAAAAAAAGTTGGTCATCATTCGAATTCGAATTAGAATTTCAAAAGAAGAACACGGATATACTTACTTATTCATTGCATTATAATTACTTGCAACTGATTTGAATACTAGTCTATCTATTGTATTAAAAATAATATATACCTACCTAGATAATAATTACGAGCAACATTGTTACGAGACACGAACAATTTAACCCCACTTGACATAACCTGTAAGGTTTTATTAAGTAGCAATCGAAGTTATACTACGATCAACATTAAGTCACATTACACCGACAGCGGAAAAGCACATAGGTACATAAAATAAAAAATAAAACTCATCACAGTACTGCTAGTTGTATTGTAATAGTATATTTCATTACGAGTGTGGAAAGCCTGTCATTGCAAAGAGTTCCAACAAATGTCTACCCGAGCCGAGGCGCAACCGAAGGTCGGAAGTCGGAACAAGTTGCAATGAGGGTTCCGCAGGAATATTGAACAACTATTAATACAGTTGCGAAAAAATGAAGCAATTTAATACAGATTTTTTTTTGGAAAATGGCGCTAACCGTAAAAGAATATAAGCAGAGTTTTTTTTGTTTTCTTCACCCATTCTGGGTAGGCAAAAGGAACTATGCCCATACAGCCAAGTCTTCAGTAGATTTTTTTTATTGATATGAAATGAAAATGAAATTTAATGTCATGAAATGAAATGAAACCTAAACTAAAATACTTCTTTACTACTTTGTTTAATTATAATTGTTCTTATGAGTGCAAATAAAATAGTGTATGCAGCTGTTATAATTTAGGTATTAAAACACTCGGTCCCGGGTTCGATTCTCAGTCGTGGAAAGGGTTTTTTTATTTTTCACTTTTGATGAGCTAGAATAATATTGAGGCCATGTAAAACACTTTAAAAGTTTCAATTGCATCATAATGCATAAAACCACACCATTTTTTTTTCAAATCTTACATAAAGTACATCCCGATAATGGTAAACTATGAGACGAGAGTAAGTTATGAAATATGATAAATGAAAATGGTAAAATGCAAAAAAAAAAATAGGTTTTACTACATTTTAATTCGATATCTCTTAAAAATAAAATTTTGTGGACATACAGTATTGCTACATAATTATAATAATGTAATTTATCAACTACATAGTAATAATAAATTTAAATGTAATGTATATAATATTAAATTGATTTATAAATACTACTCAATATTTACTACTTTATATTCACTAGATCCATTATCAAACTACTTCAAGAATTATTTAATATCCATTATGTAAGGAATTGATCGTAATATTATTGTAAAATTGACAGTTTTGTGATGTTTATAATCTTGGACGAATAAACGTTACAATAAACGCTGAAAAGTAAAAAAAAAACAACAGATTTTCAGTTTAAGAAAATTATAAAAAAAACATGTACACGTATAGACAATAGGTATGTTGTTAAATATGAGGAATTTTAGTTCAGAACATAAATTAATATTTATGTTCAGAAAAAACTACTTTATTCCCGCATTTTTGGGGATTAATAAAAATCAGTCAACAAGATTTTTTGTGAAAGCGAGCGAAATTAATTCCAATTGCACTATTGACGTTTTCAATTAACTACAACTTACAATATAAGTGTTTTTGCGGCTAAATGCCTTAAATAAGTCAAACCTGTATGTTTCTTTTTTATTATTCATATGTTTTTATCATAATTTATGAAAGATTATGGATGGCAAGATAACGTGTTCCTAAATCAAAAAGGTAAACTGCGTAGAGTATTTTTAACAAACTTCTTCTGAGTTAAACCTAAACAAAGTACGCTCTCATATCAATAAGGGAAAAACCAAATGAAAATCCTTAAATAAAATTTATTATTCACGCTTATGGCTGGGGTTTCATGTTTAACGCTAAATTCATTTATAATACTTTAACAAAACTAATATACAAATAATATTGATGGAAAAAGAAACTAGAAATAATAAAACTATTATCATAATTATACATGACGTTATTTATCATTGGAAAAATCAAAATAAAATTATCGTACCTACCTATAAAAAAATCCTTAAAAGTAATTAAGTACTGGCTTGGAATGTTAGTGTTGATATGCTTCAAAACAGGTTTTAATGTACCTCGTATAATACTAATTAAAGATTACGGCTATAAAGTTAGCTGTGGGCGGAATAAAATAAATAAAAATAAAATCGTCCTGGTACCAAATATATAATAAATAAATTGCAAAATTTTATAGTCAAATGTTGACTAGAACTTTTTTTTTACGTTACATCGACTTCTGCTCATCTCTTTTTTATTCAAAACTATAAGTACTTAGGTATATATTTCAAACAGCTAATTTCACAATCGTAAGCTTTAACAATGCTTATTGCACCCCTTCTCAATACCATCTAATTGGAATATTATTTAAACTACTCTCAAATAGCAGTCACAAATATAATTTTAAATAAATAAATTAGTCTTAGGTAATTTATGTAAGTCGGATATTTTTTTCAAATTAATTCAAAAGACAATTTTATTATATGACAGAATTTTCTATGTATTGTTCAATTTTCTTTTTAATTTATTAATTTAACAAAACACTGAAATTGTTATATCTCAGCGTTACATTGACATTTTACACTATAAATACCTAGTGTATATATTTCAATATCTTCATATTCCAAGTTTATAATAATTGTAAAATGAAATGCACGCACGCGCTTTTAATATCGAAAATATACCTACATATTTAATTAAACATATATTTACTAATAACTATTTCAAATAACATTGTTGTAACAGTTCCCTAGCCTTAAACAATTTATATTCATAATTAAAAAATATGGCTCATTGTCATGGCCTTAAAAAAATAAAAAATAAATCTTACTGAGTATTCGTAACTAAAAAAATTTTGTGTAGCTACCTAAATAAATCGATTAACATAAAATAAAGCTGTAAATACGTTTAATAATAATTCATAAAAAATAGTAGTTTTGCTTACGTCACTTACATTACGAAAATATTTATTCAAAAAGAAGTTTGTGATACACATTTGTGATTACAATTATTACAATAGTGACGTCGAACTACAGTCAATCAATACCCGGAAACAATATAATAAATAACAGATACAAATAATGGTGGCAAAGAATCTGCCACCATTTTGGTTAAAAGTAAAAAAAATCGTTTTACATAAATCTCTTTTCTTTTCTTGAATAAATCTGTAAAAATTTTATTTTAAAATCACGTAGGACGGAAATGTTATATTAATTGCACTTTTTGGGATAATATAATTATTAGATGCCTTCTCTCAACCGGCGTATGCCAGATTTCCACAAGCTATCAATTTTTCTCAATTGCTTTATTACTTTAAGTCAAAACACAGTTTATAAGCTAAATATTGAGAAAACTGATAAAAACAGACTAAGTAAGAATTTACCACGTTTCCTAAATCCGCCATTCTAAGGCCGATACCTCAAATTATACGAATTATTAGGTTATGTTACTTATAGTGCGTTAAATTATTGATATCTAATGTGCGAATTTTAAAAAGAAATACAGTCCAATAGATTGGCCTCTACTTTATATTTACAAACTGAATAAAATAGGAATTTATATTAGTAACCCGTGAAAATCATCTGTTATTATGAAATCAGAATCGTTGACTACATTTGAAAATCAGTTAATTTTTAAAATCATAACACTATGTTGTCAGCAACGAAAAAAGTATTTCCTTGTCATATTTATTTTTTGTGAGATTCACTGGTTAATCGCTTCTTTATGAGATTCAAATTATTTTATAATTCACTGGTTCTAAAACTCTCAATAGTATGTTGAAATTAGTTATCGTTTATTGAAAATCAATACAAACCATTAGAGTGTTTATATGTTTAACCAACTGAGAGAATGTGAAGATGGCACTAGCCAAGATGTATTTTTTGGAATTACCTATATACGTATTTCTTACAAAAAAGGTCAACGTGTACAATATCATATTTTACCATGAATCATTTGTGTGGCTGGAATTATTCTACCTATGTTATTTTAATTTGTTTTTATTTCAGTTGTTGCAATCTCTGTAGACGCGTATATTGTATTCGACGAACGGTATTTTATCTTCTGGTGTTAGTTTGCAGATATCCTGAAAAAGAAATGCACGTCATGACATCGATATGGGCATGGACTTATAGCAGATAACATTTTCAATATGGCACACCAAAAAAACAATTATGCTTATGTGTATTATTTGACATATTAATATTTCTTTTGACAAATGGATATATCAAAGCTTTTGTAACAAAAAAAAATATTTTTTTATGAATTAAACATATAACATTTTTTTGTCTACCCCGATGACTTTATGATTGCAATTAAATATCAAGGCCTTTTTATTTGTTAATGGAATTATAAAGCAAAAGGCATGAAACTAAACAATCTTCCAATATATATTGTATTGACATAAATCTTTACTTTCCACAATATTATTATTTATATATTTACTATTTTTATAACTTACCTCGAAGGGCATAAAAGATCCCCTTATCTTCAGTAATTTGTCGATATTGCAGCCCATATTCAGACTAACGGTGGTAGACCAAGACGTTTCAGTAAAAACCAGTTTGCGACAGCTCGGCGAATCATGACGACAATCGTATAGATCGCAGCGATGGAACTCTTTCAGTTTCAATGACCTGGAGGAATGGTAAAATTATAAATCTTACAAGTAATACTATAATTAATTAATAAAATAATTATGAGCATAGTGCTTTCAAGCACTAAGCATTTTAATGCATGATAATACTGCTGCAATAATGACTAACACGTCATTTTGACGAAAAAGCAAGTCTGCTTGCAGGCAGTCGCCTGGAATTAAAGATGCCACTACTCTATAATACCTAAAACGCTAATTGACTTGAAAATTATGCGTAGTTCCTCATTCTGCTTGCTAAAATTGACGACTTTTTAGCTGTCAACGCACAAGCTGCACTTTATTCTTTTATTCTGGTTAAATTAAAACAATATAAACTATTAACAAACAAACTTAGTACTAACTTTCAATTTTAGATTTGGTGGACCTTCGCCCATAGAAGAAAATATTCTATACCTTCTCGTATTTTTTTAAAACAATGCTTTTCATGGTGTAAGTGATGGGCTAAGGATTATCTAGTATCATTTAACGAGCGATATTGCTAGTATTGAGTTATTATTTTATTGTGTAAAAATCTTAAGGGATATAAATGAAGCAGCTTAATGCTTAAAAATTACAATAAAACCATTATAAATATAACTTTACCTGAAAGTCACATCAATATGCTTCTGATGCAGACAATGTGACAGCGGTAGTGTATACGTATGATTATAAACGGTGCGAGGACAAACGCGTTCAGCGAACAAAGAACCGTTCGTTATGGACTTGCTTAATATGCCGACGTGGACTTTATCGCATTCTGAAAGAAAAAAGTTCCCAAAATATCACTTACTAGCAACAGCCCGCGACTTCGTACGCATGGAGTTAGTTAGAAATAAAGGTTCACTGCTCGTTCCCCGTAGGTGATAGCGTGGTAATATGTAGCCTATATGTTGACCCGACTTCTTAATAATATTCGTGCCAAATTTGAAGTAAATCCATATTGCTCGTTTTGACTTTATCCCGGTCATACATACAGACAAACAGACAAAAATTCTAAAAACTATATTTTTGGCTTCGGTATCGATTGTAGATCACACCGCAGAAATTCTTTTAAAAAAATATACAATGTACAGTTTTGACTTTCCTATCATTTTATTATATGTATAGATTATTCCGCCATCGTGGGCCGTAGCCATATTAGATTAAGAATAACGTCACTCAGCTAACCATGTATTGTTATCCAAACTAAACTTGTTTGCAACATGTAATTTTAATCAGTTGAGGATAGCTGCTTCACGTAACTGCTTAATTTAACTGCGAGATTAGACCCGAACATACAAAGCTTTTCAAATTACAAATCCAAAATTATGTGCTTGTGTGTTTTCAAATTTAATTGCTAAAATCTCATAACAATCGGAAATGAGGATTACGATTTTTAAATTAAAACGGATTGTAGGCAGAATAATAACAAATAATTGTAATGCTACAGTTGGCAAAATACGACAAATTCCTGTATTGCCTTTCTGAAACATACTATTATTAGTTTTAATTAAATTTCAAAATGCAATTTCAACGACAAAGATGTCCTTTGAAATTAAGAATTTAAAATAGAATATTACACCAACCTTTAGAAGCGATCTCTTCTGACTGCTCACCAATACTGATCTCCTCAGAATTTCCCATAGCTTCATTGGTTTGTCTCACTACACGAACTAATCTATTCACTTTAACACTCCTCTTCATTCGAGTAGCGTTATCAGACAAATTCTGTTTATTCGAATCCAGTAAGTTAGAATCAGCGATTATATCAACATGTATTCCTTTAAACGAATCATTGTCACTTTTGACAGGTTCTGAATTGTTGCGTTCAAGTATTAATGGAATGTTGGGTTGTTTGTCTTTTGTGGTTGGCTCTGGTGGGCGTGCGAATGTTTCGTTTATTTCTTTATCGGATTTCCTCTCTAAAGGCTCTTGGTTGTCGTAAGCTTGAGGTTGGTCGAGACCGCAGGATGACTGTGGAATAATGTTTAATAAAATGTCTAAAATACTCATCATCATGATAATGATATTATCATCATCATCATTATCCTATTTATGTCCTCCCTGTTAGGGCAGATGGCCTACCCTGTGGATGGAGTACGGAGATTAGGCCATGAACCACCACGTGGAAAGACTTTTTTTCAGTGCGGATTGATGTGTTCTAACGACTGTAGATGCAGCTGGGACCACAGCTTAACGTGCGTTCCAAAGCACGGAGGAGCTCGATATAAATTTTTAGTAACCCATCCAAGACCGACCACTGTGAAAGTTGCTTAACTTTAACGATCGCAGCCGAACGCGCTTACCACTTGTACCATAGAGCTCCTCTAATAATCGGAAAAATGTCTCTGGCCATCAAAATTATAGAGGTATATGAGCAACAGATAAGCCGTATAGTATAACACAACATTTTGTACAAAAACTTAGTATTTCAAAGCAACATTTTAAAATTCAATATAAAGAAATTTACACACCTAAGTTTATTTTATTTAATACTTCATTGCGAAAAAGGTTGTTTGATTGCTGATAAGAAGGCAATGAGTCATCAATCCCTAATGTTAACTTACCAAAATTGATTCTATCCATGAAGTTAATAGTTTGATGTCCTTTTTTAGCAGCATGTACAGAATTTTAAGAAATATGTTTAATTAGAGAGATAAATAGCAATTTCGTAAGTGATATAGAAATTAATATTACAAAATGATAAAATAAAGAACGCATTCATATAAGAAACACGATTTTTCTGTATCTGTACTTTTATCTTGTAAGGTCATCTTTCATGTAAGATTCGCATTTGGTTGGTTTTTATCAACTGCTCAACAAGAGTAGTTGATAATTAATAAAAGACCAATTAAACCCATTATCATTTTATATTATTTATTTCTATAATGCCATTAGAAATGTACACTTACAACACAACGGTGAAGCTTAATGTAATCTGGTTTCGGTGGTACCAATGTCAGTACATTTTTTCTAATTGAAACCATAATATTTTTTACATAACTTTTCGGTACTTTATAGGGCCATGGAATACAATAATAATTTTCTTTTTTCTCTACATATAGAGCGTAATATTACCTGGCAATCGGCATCTAATTCGTTATCCGTATTTGCAGGGAACGGACACCCGGACCCCAGTACATCGGATATGCGGGACAGTCGTATGGGCCGCTCGAGTAGCGGCGTTTGTGATGTTTGTTCTATATCTATACAGAAAATATATCATTCAACTTTTAAAATTTTCTTTATCTTTTTATAAATAAATATTGCATTCACCCACCCCAATCAGCCTAGCCCCAAAATAGGCCGTGAAATTTTATATGCATATTCAGTAGGTCTGAGAACCGGACAACATCTATTAATTAATTTTGTTTTTGACAAAATTATTTGTTTTTTAATTTTTTTATGATACATCATACAAAAATACATACAACCTTAAATTTTCACCCTTCTATCACCAACCCCTTTTTTATGGCGGTACGAAGTTCGCTTGGACAGTTAGTATTATATATCATGATACCTACGTACGGACATTTTGAATTATTTGCTTGCATTCATCCTACATTTGCCTCAGCGGGATTCGAACCCAGTACCTCTGAGTGAGTGGCATCTTAAAAAACCACCATTTATACCACTCAATCACCACTTTAAGTTTGGTTAATTCATGAACATAATACTCTCTTGAAAATAAGGTCGTCAATATATCACATCGACATAGATCACGGCTACTTACCTTTCTCAGTTTTTTGGAATTACGTATTTAAGAAATAAATATTGTTGATTATATTTTTTTTTCATTTTAAGTTTTAATCTGTTCGATATATTTATCTAAATTATTGTATATTGTTTATGTTTACTTACTGTTACTTATGAGGTTTTTGACATAATTCTTGGAAGCTAGCAGTGTTGTAGCTATCGTGTGAGGTAGTTCTGTGGGCGATATGGTACTGTACTCTTGCGTAGTCTTGTGCGGACTTTTTTCTGTGTGAAAATAATTTGAATTGAATTGCTAATTATATCATTAAAATTTTTATTAGACAAATCACGACGTTGCCACCGACTAACTGTGGCCACTATTCCAACACGTACGAAGAAGTTTGGTGACTCATTTCTTTGTCACACTATTCGTAAATGGAATGCTCTGCCCGCTCACGTGTTCCTTCTCTCTTACAACCTGCGATCCTTTAAAAGAGGCGTGTAGAAGCAACATGCAGGCCAGCAGGGTAAGGATAGCTTGTATGGCAGGTTTCTACCTGCTGCATCAGCTATATTCGGGACTTCAACGTCACTTAACATCAGGTGGGTGGAGTCATTTGTCGGACCTATCTATAAAAAAAATACTTGTTGCTAATTCATATCAATCATAAATCATATCTTCAATAATAATTGGAGTCTTTATCTGTAATGCTAAATCAGATTAAGACACGAAGAAAATCAGGTCGTATCATTTTAAAATTTTTATTCGTTGGTAGAGTCTGTGCGGAAAGAGAATGGGATTTAGATTGGAGGGCGCTGTAGTGCTTTTCTACCGTATTTGTAAGGTTTTACCCCTTTTAGATATGATTAAATAAGAAAAAACCACAAGAAATCACAACAACAAACAAATCCGTATCAGTACAAAATTTTGACGTTTTACAGATTGCTGGGTTTGATTGCCAAATAAAAATCTTAATGTTAGTTCCGTTTTTAGCCACGCCCATTCTCTTTCCGCACAGACTCTAACAGAATATTTGTAATATGAAATTTGTATTAAATTAGGATTGAATTAAAATCTATTCTAAAACTTACCTTTTACTTGTTTCTTGGCTGTTGCATGAGGTAAAGGTTTTAAATTCTGCAAAAAAGATACAATTCTAAGAACTACCATTTAGAGTGCTACCTAGTAATTAGGGTAATAAAAGGATCTATTAACTTGACTTAATTTTTCAAACTAAGTCAAGGTAATAGACTTTATCGACTTTATTGTTATTAAAGTGAAACTTCTTTAGCTTAACTCATATACATTTTAATTTGTTAAGAAAAAAAAACATACTTTTTCAACAATTATCGGTGGTTTAGTGGTAGAAAGCTCCCACGCCACACGGGCGGCTCGAGTTCGATTCCCAGCCGAGACAGGACTTTTTTATTTTTATATTTTATAAGCTGCATAACATCAACTTCGAATAATTTTCCAAAAACTTTCGGATAAATTACTTACGATCCAAAAATATGTAGAGGCGATTTAAAACACTTCAATCCTCTCATTAATAAACGCAGAATAAGCTTGGATTAGTAAATCCATGTTTTGTCTGTGTTCGTTGAATTACAAATGGCATTTGAGTGACATGAACAAAACACAGCGTAACTAGTCTAAGCTTATTCCTTGTTTATTAATTAAGGGGGACAAATGCATTGTGTTTGTTTCTAAGGTTTTCACGCACATCACTCATTAAATAAAACTAGTTTTGACGGGTCTGCTTACGAAGTTTATTATTGAATAGTATTCTGACGAAGCAGACCTGAAAAGGCTGCAAAACGTCAATAAATAAATAAAGTTTCGTGCATTAACCCGTTAAAAACCAGTTTTATTGAATGAATAAAATGGGAATTCTCGGCTCGAGAATTATTGGGAAATCGTTGGGCTTTGTTCCCGGGAAATCAAGCTCGAGAAAAGTTGAGAACTCGAGAAATCATGTTCTTTTCTTATGTAAGTAATTTGAAATTACAGTAGAACCCGCTTAATACGATCACGCTTAATACGATTTCTCGCTTAATACGCCATTTTGCGTCAGTCCCTGCAACTTGAGACATGTTTTCGTACATTTCTTAACGCTTAATACGATTCGTCATCCCGTTTAATACGCCTAAATCGCCAACACGTACCACACATATTACCTCTTGCGGCAGCGGCCAGCGATTGCCGTGACGGTTTTCCTGGATGTTCTTCCACTGATGACAATGTGCCACCGTACCAAATTTAATCAATTCAAGATTTTATTAAGAATATGAATAACACAACAAGGCCCTAAGTGATAATGATCAAGAAGAAGATGAATCAACTCCGATTTTGTTACACGCCCAGGCATTATCAGTAGTTAATAATTTAAGACGCTATGTAAATTCTTTGAATCAAAGCAAAAGTTAATTTATGTGAAAATTTTGTAATTGCTAATGCCTCAAAATCTTTTTGTCAAACTAAAATAAGTGATTAATTTTTAATTAATTTAATACAAACGTAATAATAATACACCTTTTTTTTATCATCATCATCATCATCAGCCTATTAATGTCCCCACTGCTGGGGCACAGGCCTTCCCTATGGATGGAATAGGGAGATTGGGCCATGACCCACCACGCGGGCCCAGTGCGGATTGGTGGGTGCTAACGACTGCAAATGCAGCCGGGACCAACGGCTTAACGTGCCTTCCGAAGCACGGAGGAGCTCGAGATAATAAATTTTTGGTCACCCATCCAATGACCGACCACTGCGAAAGTTGCTTAACTTCAACGATCGCAGCCAAACGCGCTAGCCACCTGCGCCATCGAGCTCCTCTCCTCTTTTTTTTATATAACGTACATAATTCTTAAATATTGTACCTATATTTAATACCTCAATACCTACATTCGAAATTTCCTTATCCCGCAATCCCGCTTAATACGCTTTCCCGCATAAGACGCGGTTTTGGTTGAGTCCCTGTGAAATCGTCTTAAACGGGTTTTACTGTAATTAATGTGTCATTTTAAATTTGTGAGACGAATATTGCCATCTGACTAGTCTCACGGACCGCAGCCCGAGCGGCTCGCCAGCCGACCAGCTCCCGTACCTACCAGGTAAACTAACTCCCCGATCTACCCCTCACCCTCCATCATTTAGGATGGATCACCATTAAGGAATTTCAAAAGTCCTGACAAAAATCTTGACATTCCGAAAGAAGTCCGGACTTTTTAGTCACAAAAAGGTACCATTACTTACCTAGTTACAATGGTATGGTATTTAAATCAATATGTACTATTATTATTCATACTCAACTTGATTTAAAAAATCCGGACAAAGTCTGGGCTTAAGTCTAAAAGTCCGGACATGTCCGGGCTTATCCGGACGGATGGTAACCCTATCCATACCTGTATTTGATTCTGGTCTGGTGGCGTTCGATGGGCATTGTTCACGTTAAATTTCCCGTAATGCGGGTAGTTGGCGTATTTGTCGTGCATCCGGGTCTCTTTCATAGTGAGTAACTCTTGATGCTCTCGGAAATATAGTGCTGACATTACTACTAGGCTGAAAGGGAATTCAATATTCAATTCAATATCGTTTATTCAGTCCAGGCTGTTACAAGCACTTGTGAATGTCCAAAAGCTATGCCATCGGTTCGCAAATCTACGGCAGGAGACCTTGTACTGCAAGAAACTCAGCAAGGGCTGTTTTTTCCTCCCTGTATTATATACAGAGTCGTCAAGTTGAAAAATGACTCCAATATGAGATAACTCATGAAGTCACTTTCCATTACAAATGTATTGGTATTATCATAGGGAGTTCGAAGCACTGGGCTAGACCATCAAAAATGTGTTTTATTGGTCTGTCAGCTGTTATAATGTTTACAAAACATTTGTAAACATTTTTCATACAAAAAATGTTGATCACAATGTTAAGACAATGGTGTCGATTCTAGCATGAATCTCTAAACCTAAACTTAAATTTGACAGCAGTATATCCTTGTCATTCTCTATACAGAATGAAAAGGAGAGACTGTTGAGAGTAAGTTTAGAGAATTACGCGAGAATTGACACCAGTGTCTTCATGTTAGGTAATGTTAGTAAAGTTTACTAAACACAACTGTGAGTTAATAAATTGTAACAAATAAAATATTTTTTCATTTGTCTGAAAACATAAATACCTATGTAACGTAAATCCAAACTTCGATGTCATGTTAATGAATATTTGTAACCATTTTCCATCAGTGTAGGAGCACTTAAAACCTATAATAATTTCTAACTTTTGTTTGTAAATGTATGAGTGTTAGAATTGTTTGCTAACATTATTAACTAACAGCAGTGTAGGAGCACGATTATTCGTTTAGACTATAACAGTAACTTTGAAGTTAAAATAAGCTCTGATAACTTGGATTCAATCCGATCTTTTTCAAAAAGTCAAACAGAATCTAATCAAAGCTTTATTTGTGATATATAAGTTAAATGGATGATAAAGGATCGAAAAATTAACAGCTCTGCACCAGAAGTATCTAAAGTAAAGAAAAGAGTAAACTTACCATACAGCCATGATGAAGATCAAAATTGTAATAACGATCTGTAAAAACTTATTGGAGATCAATTCACTACTGCTGTCACTGTAATCTTTCCTTCTACAGCAGAAAGGCAATCTAGTATTGCCATAGGAGAATTCATTCTCTTCTCTCATCCAAATGCTTGGCTCCTTCTTCTTAGACAACGTACTGTAGTTTTCTTCTGGCACTTTCTGTTCAACGTATTTAGGCTCCAAATTCTCAATTTTATCTTCTTTACTCGAATGATATCGGACGCAAGTCTTGTTATAGTTGTAGTATTTTCCTAATTTCGAGTTGCCATGGCAGTTTTTGCACTGTTTTCGGGTGTACTTTGGGGAGTTGTGGCTCAATTTATGGCAACACTCATGCCGACGTATGTTGCGGGCTATATCTCTTATTTGGTCTATGGATATGTTGCCCTCGCTGTAGAGAGACTTTGAGGAATTAGAAGCGGCTGAATAACGCGAATCTGGAAGACGTTTTGGGTTTTAATATTTGATAAATTTAATTCTAATAAGAACTAAGAGAGGAAAAGTAACATGTACAAGGCATCCGCAACGATTTTCAAATGCAATGATCAGGTCAAAGAAAACTTAACAGTCACTTAAAAATTTTCATGAGAATAAGGTCTTATTGTGTGATTTTTTTATTCTCAACAAACTACATAAAGAGGTTTGGTGTGACACACTAACATTGATATTCTGGCATACATTAGAAAGAATCAACCCCTGATCTACAGATCGAGTTATCAATATCCCTGGATTTAGAGATAATTGTATTAATTCTGGCATAATTCTCTAAACCTCCACTTAAATTTGACAACAGTGCATCCTTGTCGTTCATTTGCTTTACAAAATGAAAAGGAGAGACTTAGAAGACTTTAGAAATTCATTCCAAAATCGACACCATTATGTCAGGGACACCATCAAGTATGTCAAATATATAACTGTTTTAAGAATTCTGTAAATCACAGAATCAATTATCATCATTCATCATCAGCCTATTAATGTCCCCACTGCTGGGGTACAGACCTTTCCTATGGATGGAATAGGGAGATTGGACAATGATCCACCACGCGGGCCCAGTGCATATTGGCGGGTGCTAACGATTGCAACTGTAGATGTAGCCGGGACTAACTGCTTATCGTGCCTGCCGAAGCACGGAGGAACTCGAGATAGAAGAATTTTGGTCACTCATCCAATGACCGACCACTGCGAAAGTTGCTTTACTTCAACGATCGCCGCCGAACGCGCTAACCATCCGCGCCATCGAGCTCCTCCAATATAATAGAATCAATTAATTAAAACGAAATCCTTACCATTACTAACGCTGGATCTCGAACTATCCCTCCGCTGTAGTACGCTGATCTTGCATAGTTTCTTGTTGATCTTCTCCAATTGGTCTATCCTGGACTCCAGGTTGCCGGTGACTTTACACAGTTCCTTCACAGCGCCCAAGTTTTCCATGAAGATGCGGTCCTGTAGGTTTATTTTCAATATTAATTAAACTATTATACTCTTTAACAACTATAAAACGGATTATCTTTACTATAGTATCAACATTTTTATTGGAAGCATTATACTGCGCTATATTTATTAATTTATCAAATTATAATTATCAATACTAAGGCATTCTCTACCATATATATATATTTGATTTGGTTGTAACTACGTGTATCAGCATTGATGGCTTGAAATTGGCGATTATAAAATCATTTACGAAAACAGTTAAGGTTAAATAAGTGGCGAACAAAGGGTAGTAAGGTAAGGTACTATGGGGTCAGAAGCGAGGAAAAGAAACAAGATGACGTAGGGACGATAACACTGATTCCAGCAAATGAACCCAGCCCCTCTCTGTCAGACTACTGTCAAACTCCATAGTAGTCTGACAGTTAATGTCGATATATCGCTTTATCATATCCCTTTTCGGTGGTCATGCTAGAGGGGCTGGAATAGATAAGGATTCGCATAATACACTTCGCCACACCCTATACCTACAGATTTTTTAAATTGGATGTATAGTAGAACTCTTTTCAATCATCCAAAAAAAAGAATCCATTTTTTCTCTACCACTCGTTATTGCACATATTTTTTAGCTGCGGAGAAAAACTAGCGATAAAACTCCACAATATTAAACGTAGGTATAATGCAACAACATTTACAAATCATTATGTTGTTACAACGTCAATACAATCATGATTTATTTCATATAGAAAACCTGTTGGAATTATTGAAACTGTTCAAAGCATTTCTGTCTGTAATATAGTAAGACACTTTGTTATAAGCTTTTTTAATAGTATCTTTGAATTTATTTATGGTCAACTCTTGGATATTGCTTGGGACTTTATTGTATAAGCGAACACAAAGACCTTTAAATGAATTCTAAAATCTGAAATCTTCTACACAGTGCCATTCAAGTCTCACCTCATAGACCACAAGGAACTTGGTTATCATGTCTCCGTTAGGCAGTGTGACGTCACCGGCTTCTTTCAACGGTTTCTTTCAATGGCTTCTTTCTTTGGCTTTTTTCTTTGGATTCTTTTTTCGGCTTCATTTTTTGGCTTCTTTCTTCGGCTTCTTTCACAGCCCCCGGAAGCGTTTTAAGCGTCTAATCCTATTCTTACCTTATTAACTACAAGGAACTTGGGTATCGTGTCTTCATTGGGCAGCTTAAGGTCACCGGCTTCTTTCACTGCTTCTTTCACCAAATTATTTTACAGTCTCTCTCATCTTCTCATCTCCTCACCTTATTAACCACATGGAACTTGGGTATAGTATTGTAGATCTACACGCCCCACATATAACCAACATGGAGGAATTAATCACTCGCCTCCTCAAGAGATGACGCTACCGGTGCTGCACTTAAATAGTATGGAAGCCAGAAGAATCGCGCAAGTGAAATTCGGCGTTCAACACTTCATATATGCAATGCCCGACCAACAACAGTAGAGCTTCGGCCCCGAGCTACCATTATCCAGTTCAGTTGAAGATTTTTCCTTTTGATTTTCCTACAGTATCTCAATTAGGCAGTGTGATGTCACCGGCTTTTTTCACCGGCTTCTTTCACTGTCTCCAGATACACTCCTGATCTCTTAAGCTATGACATTAAGATCCTTAGAAATCGTTTACAACATTAAATTTCCTCACCTTATTAACCACAAGGAACTTGGGTATAGTGTCTCCATTAGGCAGTGTGACGTCGCCGGCTTCTTTTACGGCTTCCGGCAGTACTCTTCTGACTTCTTGAGCTATGACCCCAGTGTCTAGTTGTGGGGAAGGAGCAGTGGGGTCGTAGCCCAGTAAACCGGAGTGCTCGGCGAAGGATGGGTCGTAGTTAAATCTGGAGGAATGAAATGGTTGTAATACAGTTTTGACGAACTCCGTGGCCAAGTGGTATATAGGCCGGATTTCAAAATACAGTTGATCTACGGTTAAAATTAACTTTTGCAAAGTTTGGTCATAGATGGGTGACCTAATTTCTATTCGTTCCGTTACCCAAGAATCACAGTGCTTACTTTGGAGCTAGCTAGTTGAATTATTACTGATAGAAATGTTTATTATTAAGTATATGATTTATATGACTCACTTGACGACGCGTATGCTTTGCACGTTTCGTAACTGTTGAGCTGTATCGAGTTCTCGCACGTTGTGTTTTGCGCGCGCGTCTGACGGGTGTAAAATATGCCCCATGACTTTCAGGTTACCTGGAGGAAAAGAGGACGCATTTAAAATAGTAAATGAATCAGTTGCATGCAGAATATTCACCATGACCTTAAAGTTACCTGCTGATAGAAAGCATACAGTTAAGGGTGTTTTGCCACCAGAGATGTGCTATGCAGCTATGCTGCGAGGATGTGTCAGCTTAGCTACGAAACTACGTGACCGTTTCCACTGATGCTAACTCTGTAGAGGGGCAAGTAAGATGTGCTATGAAGATGCGCCGCCGCAAACTTTCAATAACAAATTAGGTAAGCTGGGAAGCGCAGTGGTAGACCCCTTACTATTTAGGCTGACGACATCAAGTGAGTCGGGGGGACCTACTGGATGCGGAAAGCGCAGGACCGTTGTGTATGGAAATCCCCTGAGGAGGCCATTGGCTGATGATGAAGATGATGATGAATATAATGAATGTCCTTCGAAATACAGGCGAATTCACTGACCGATAAGCTACTTAAATCTTAATCAACGTGTCCAACTTCTTTTAATAACAGGCAGCGTAATTCCTTATATAAAAAATCTAGCAGTTTAATGGGTCCATAATATTCTAATAAGAGTACAAGAATGATCGGGTTATAAAAAAGGTCTTTGCCTACTTATAGCTGTAGTCGTGTACATTCGCTTAGTGAATTACCGTCGTAGTGCACTCTGTTCTTCTGGATTTCAATAAGACCTAAAGTTTAGAAAATACACATGAAAAAAGTCTTCTCCAAACCTCTGTCTGACCTTCAGTTCCTTCGGGACGCAAAACAGTCCAGCGGCGCTCTTGATGACAGGCTTTCTTCTCCAACCTAATGCTGATCTTTTCCCAGCTAGTTTGCCTATGATTATAAGCTGCAGCAGCGAAAGAATTGGTGATACATAACCAGCAAGATAAGGATAGCTGGTGTGGCAGGTAGAACTGCTATACCAACTAACCTCGCATCTGAACTCCACCGTCACTTAATATCTGGTGAGGTGGAGTCATCTGACGGACCTATTTATAAAAATAAAAAATAAATAACTCATCATTATCAACGCGTGCCTCATCAGGCCGGTCCGTATTGATACCGAATCTTCCTTGGTAGTGCTCGCTGTTCTCTGAAGCGCCTTGTTACCACCAGTTCTAAAAGCAGTCTGACTCGAACTGGTCCAGGTTCGACGCTAAACGTGGAAGTTTAACTCTTTAGGTTTTCTAAAGTTACCCTATTAATAGGGACGTGACAGGCCGGTCGGTTTTGATTCCAACTCTGCCATGGAAGTCTAACTTGAGGAAACACTTAGTAATAAAGAAGAAAGCAATATCACAGCTATTAATCTAGACGCGGAAAGGAGAAATCTCACCATTAAGAAAGCACTCCTCGTCAGGCTAGTCCGTTTTATTCTTTAGGATGTCAAATAGAGCTCAAGTAAAGCAATAAAGACGTAGGAAGTAAATAACTCACCATTAAGGGTCCAGCAAGACGGCCATTGGTCCGAAACCAATTGTACCCATACCCTATCGACAGCTGAGAACCTGGATAAGGGAGCGCTGTCAACGACAACACGACGAATACTGGGCAAAACTCACTGACTGCAGGCAAACTAGGGAAACCGTTCCCAAAATAAACCTGCAGCTAACACGTAAGTTAATCAGACTACCTAGGCAAGCCCTAAAACAAATCGTGGCTATACTCACGGGTCACGGCTACTTCAACAAACACCTTTGTAATATAGGTATTTCTGACAGCCCTCTGTGCAGAGCCTGCCTGGAGGAGGAGGAGACGAGCGCCCATGTTCTACTGGTGTGCAGGGGCGTTGCAAGACAAAGGACTTCTCTAATGGGAAGCCCGAGGACAATAGTAAAAGCCTGCAGTAACATCCGGGGACTGCTGAGCTTTCTGGAGGAGCTGGGATGGCAGGACTGATGCCAATCCCCACGCAAAATAAGCACTGGGTGTCGAGTTGCGGAAACAGCCCACCGTACTACTAAGACTAAGACTCACCATTAACAACGCACGCCTCATCGGGCCGGTCCGTATTGATACCGACTCTGCCGTGGTAGTGTACAGAATTCTCCGAGGCGCCGCGCTGCCACCAGTTCTCAGTGCAATCCGATTCGAACTGCCCGGGGTTCGACGCCTGGAGGAAGTATAATGTGAGTGAGGAGTATAATATGTGCGTAATAATCTACTCTGTTTGAAAACTTTAAGGACTATTTGAATTTGTAGTTTGATATCGAGAGAACTGCCAAAATATAAATCCAGAAACGAAGACGGTTCTCCATGTAAAAAGGGTTTGTCAAGTTTCATGTAGTGGCCGACTCGAGAGGTCCTGGGTTCAAATCCCGGTGGGGGCAGATGTTTGTGTAATGAATACGAGCATTTGTACTCCAGTCATGGATGTTTAATATGCATTTCTATAAAAATATCTATTGATATAAAACTCAAAGGTGACTGACTGACTGACATAGTGATCTAGCAACGTACAGCCCAAACCACTGGACGGATCGGGCTAAAATTTGGCATGCAGGTAGATGTTATGACGTAAAGAGGATTTTGATCAATTCTACCCCCAAGGGGATAAAATAGGGAATGAAAGTTTGTATGAAACTTTGTCAATTTTAAACCGATCGGGCTGAGACTTTGCATGCAGGTATAAGTAGAATCATATATGAATGTCATTGTGTATAATACAAGCCTGAGAACAAAAACTGTAGTCTACACTTCAGCTCTACACCGAAGCGAAGCGAGGGCGGGTCGCTAGTACTTATTTAAATACACTATATGTATTCTATCCATTACCTTAGTATCCTATAACACAGGTCTTATAGTGCTTACTCTGGGGCTAGGCTAATTGGTGTGAGTGTTGGAAATATTTATTATTATTTATTTATTATGATTGGAAAACAAGCATACGGCCAGCCTGATGGTAAGTGGCCAGCATAGCCTATCGACGCTTGCGATACAAAAAATCCACTCGCACCGTTGGCTATCCTGACCCACTCCCCTACCCCGTGGAGCCCTGGAACCTTACTCACCACAGAAGCACAACACCACCAAAAGGCAGTAATATTTGACTATGATCTTTTGTATGGTGGAGCTTACTTCCCCAGACCGGGCGCTTTCATTCGAGCGGGAAATCCCCTATAAAGTCTGTGCGGAAAGAGAATGGGCGTGACGAAAAACGGAACTAACATTAAGATTTTCATATGACAATAAAACTCAGCCATCTGTGAAACGTCAAAGTTTTGTATTGATACGGATTTGTTTGTTGTTGTGATTTCTTGCGGTTTTTTGTATTTAATCATGTCTAAAAGGGGTAAAACCGAGGATAAGACTAAGACTCACCAGGGCGCAGTAGTGATTTTCTACATATACGGTAGAAAATCACTACTGCGCCCTCAAATTTCAATCCCATTCTCTTTCCGCACAGACTCTTCTTATTTTTCACAATTATTCGGAACCTTTTTATAAACGCTTAAATTTTAATTAGCTAAATTACGTTTTGGAGTTTGTCCAAGTAATACATAGTTACATTGTGAGAAACCCACATGAACCTAACTTTAAAAAAAACGACTGTGCTTAAGACCACACGACTGAAGTGAAACTTCTTTAGCTTCATCTGTATGTATATCTATATATGTATATAACTACATAAACATGTATGTACATATACATATTTCATTTACTAGCTACAAGAGAAAGAGAGAAAGAAAATATGCACGTGCGGTGCTTTCTCTTGCTTACACCCCCCACTCTTACTTTATGCTTACTCCCGTTCGCCTCGCCCGATCACACTTTTCGTAACTCGTAACGCATTCGCCAGCTTACCCCCCAAGTCAAGCGTGCGTAAAGTAGTTTCACTTAAAAATCTTACCATTTGTATTGACTTTTTCTATTTGGTTAAGTCTTTCGAAAGTCATACGCAAACATATCAGATTTGCCCAAAAACCTTGATGTCTCATTGATGTTGCAGTCTTCTCAAAGGAATTTTTGGTATTAAAAGTGTTTCATAAGTTAAATAAATACAACTTTTGTTAAAGCTATTTAAAAACACCAATAAAACTCGTAAGTTTAATAAGAAACCAATATAATATCATAGAGAGGAGCTCGATGGCGCAGGTGGTTAGCGCGTTCGGCTGCGATCGTTTAAGTTAAGCAACTTTCGCAGTGGTCAGTCATTGGATGGGTGACCAAAAACTTCCATCTCGAGTTCCTCCGTACTTCGGAAGGCACGTTAAGCCGTTGGTCCCGGCTGCATCTGCAGTCGTTAGCACCTACCAATCTGCACTGGGCCCGCGTGGTGGTTCTCCTTATTCCATACATAGGGAAGGCCTGTGCCCCAGCAGTGGGGATATTTATAGGCTGATAATGATGATGATGATAATATCGTAAAGCTACATAAAAATGTCATCAACTTACCCTAACTATAATTCTGTCACTAGCCTGAGCACAAATAATGAAGTCATTGTGTGCCGAATGAGCTCTCAAAGCCACAACCAATTGGAAATGCCTCTGGTCAGGGTTCGGCCTGCCCTTCTTCCTCATATTATTGTTTGTGGTCTCGGCAAAGTGTAGCCGGCCTACTGTCATTTTAGCACCTTCTCTGCGTAGATCGACCCTAGAGAATATATAAGCTGAATTTATAAGACGATCTGTACAGTACGTGGAGCTTTCTCTAGAAAAAATTTCCTTTAAAAACTCTCGTTTGTATTTTACTAGGATTTAAACTATCTTTATACCGAATTTCATTTAAATCAGTCTATTTCTGATATGAAAACTATCCTTTGTCCTTTCCCAGGACCCAAAGTGTCTCCATTCCAAATTTCAGTGAAATCGGTTCAACGAATTAAGCGTTAAAGACGGACAGACACGCGATCGCATTTATAGTGCTTAATGAGCTCTCAAAGCCACGACCAATTGGAAATGCCTCTGGTCAGGGTTGGGCCTGCCCTTCTTCTTCATATTATTGTTTGTGGTCTCGGCAAAGTGTAGCCTACTGTCATTTTAGCACCATAGCTGCGTAGGTTGACCCTAGATAACAGCTTAGCAAAATTTATCAGACGATCTGTACAGTACAGTACATTTAGTACGAGTTTGAGCTCACGAAAACTATCACGCAAATGTTTCAATGATAGAATTTAAACACTGTTTTTTGTATTGAAACGAAAATAATAAAATCAGTACCCTTACTACGAGTTTTAGCTCACGAAAACTATCATAGTTTTCGTAATTGTAAAACTCGATTGAATGATTTAATGATGTTTAAATTCTATCATTAAATTATGAAAACTATGATAGTTTTCGTGAGCTCAAACTCGTACTAAGGGTACAGAAATGCGCTTGTGATAGAGGGACTTATGTAGTTGAGTCTGAGCATAATATTTTATTTGATACTAGTATAATCGTACCGTTTATCCTTTTTTGTTATAATCTAAGGATAGTCCAATTACACGCAAATTTAGCAAGAGGATACTCACCAAAAGAAATAGAATACGATGAATATATACTTACGGCACAGGGTGAAATGGTTTCTTGGTTCTGTCCGATTGACTTTGCTCTACTCTAACCTCTTGACTTGGGTCTTCGGCCTAACATAAAACAGACATGTCAAAAAAACAACTCAGGAAATCTTAAAGAGAATAACGATGGAAGCATACACAATATTGCAGCATGATAACCCCTTATATATTTTATTGGAGTACTTCAGTGGACGGTGCAAGCGGTTACCGTATTCTATCTGCAATCGTGGAAGTTAAGCTACTTTCGCAATGGCCAGTCTACGGATGGGTGACCAAAATTTGGTAATCACGAGCTCCTCCTTGTTTCGAAAAGCACGTTTAGCCGTTAGTCACAACTGCATCAGCAGTCGTTTGCACCAACCAAGCCGCACTAGGCCCGCGAGGTGGGTTATATCCCAATCTCCCTATTCCATCCATAGGGAAGATCTGTGCCCCAGTTGAGGACATTAAGAGGCTGATGATAATGCTTAGTGACCTCAAAACCCTACACTATTAGAAGTAGTTGCAAAAACTTTTCAAGAAGTCTTGGCGTCATATACATCATCAAGTCTTCTTATAATGTTTGCATTTGTGATCGCCATGATGCGGTAATTACAATAATTGTCAAATTGTATTCTTCTTCTCATGTTGAGTTTCCATTTATAATGTTAGTGAACTTAGCACATCATTTTCCAGCAGATCAAAATTAAATGTGAGTTCTTTCCGCATGCGCAGCTGAGTTCTATTAAAGTTCGTGATACTTTTTAGAAATAGTTCTGGCGTTAGTTCTTACATCCATTTATAAAGATGCCTTAAATTACTTGTAGTATGAAATCGAGTTGTGCCATTAAAATTACAATAGCTAGAGTACAAGCAAGAATGTGTAAATCAACCAGAAAGTGTCCTCTCACCTTGACCCCATAAAAATGCAGACAGAAGTTGTTTATCTTCTTGAAACCTTCGTTGGTCTTCACGTAGTGCGGGTCGCACTGCATCTGTATCTGACAGGTGACCTGGAAGTGATTCTTCTTCTGGCACACGAAAGCTTCGTCTATTTGTGAGTAGTTGAAGCCTTTGTCCGCGCCTACCACATACGAAGGAGGTGGTCTGTTGAAGAAATCACATAGTTCCATCGTTATTGTTATAAATAAAGGACATTTTTACAACAAGCATCTAGAATAAGCATAGCCTGTATTATGGAAGATGAAAGATAACGTACAAACGTTAAATACAAATCAACACCCACGATAACTCGGAAATTCGTCATACAAACATTTGCCCGCTCCGGGATTCGAAGAAGGAGCCACTAGAGAACCAGTGCACTAGCAGTGAGGATATTCATATGCTAATTTTGATGATGAATGTTTTTTAACAAAATGAAATGTAAAGAAAATAAATCACACGGTCCAGGCATCACATAGGATTCGAACCTACCAGAATCTATCTACGACGACCCCAGATGGAGTAAATCAAATAGTAAAATATAACTTAACTAGCGGCCCGCCCTCGCTTCGCTTCGGTGTAGAGCTGAAGTGTAGACTACAGTTTTTGTTCTCAGGCTTGTATTATATACAATGATATTCATCTATGATTCTTCTTATACCTGCATGCAAAGTCTCAGCCCGATCGGTTTAAAATTGACAAAGTTTCATACAAACTTTCATACCCTATTTTATCCCCTTGGGGGTAGAATTGATCAAAATCCTTTCTTAGCGGATGCCTACGTCATAACATCTACCTGCATGCCAAATTTCAGCCCGATCCGTCCAGTGGTTTGAGCTGTGCGTTGATAGATCACTATGTCAGTCAGTTTGAGTTTTATATATATAGATAGATAACGAATGCCCCTCGCTCAGCCTAAAGCGATGCATTAGTGTAAACACGCCCCCGAGTTTACTGTAAAATAATTATGTAGGTTCTAGGTTTGGCAGCGGGGTTCTCCTTATCGGAACATTTGACAAAATGGTACATTTTGGTGAGTACCTTTGATTTTTGCTTGATGGTCTCGGGCTTGAGTTAAACCATTCGAGGGTCGGAGATGGCCCATCGCTGCACTAACCGATTATACTACCGCGAACTTAATGGCCGTGTCGAAATTCTTCCACCATTTTCAAGCTGTGAGGCAGCGCCAGCTCTTCGCATTGGTTACCCGCAATATCTAATAGCACCGAAAAATATAGAATAAAGACTTTGTTATTTCTTTTCATATACTTACAGAGGCTTTAGATTGCAGTCGTACAGTGTGTGCCAGACGTTCTGCTGGAATGGTGCGAACCGTATGCATTGTAGTGGAGGCTCATCCCCCGCTTCTGAGCCGTCCACCGAGGGGGGTGGTCGGACATTTACCACGCTTTCGGGGGAAAGGGCTGCTGCAATCGAAACGTCATGTTAGTTCTGAAGATGGCAAAGCCACGGGCCTACCTCCTAAGCAATCCTGATGCTTTCGCTATTGTTGTAGCTTATGATTTCATTTCTGAAAGCCGTAGGTTTTCAAAAGCCTCGTGCTCGTTTTGCATTGGTAATAACAATATTAAAGAAAATGAGCGCGAGGTATTTGCAAAGCTTCGGCGGTCAGAAATAACAAGCTATAGGAATAGTGAAAGCAATCCTGATATGCGGTAGGCCCACTAGTACCCGAACCAGTACCCCTAGCACGAACCAATATAGAATTCATATTGTTTGCGAGTCCGAAATGTCATTGTCAAATGTGTGCTGATTTTTAGTACGTAACGAGATTACGTGCTTTGTGCCGCTGCTGTTAAAGTTGACATACAAAATTTGACATGGACATTTCAGTTTGCTCGATGGAGGAGCTCGATGGCGCAGAGGAGCTCGATGGCGCAGGTGGCTAGCGCGTTCGGCTGCGATCGTTGAAGTTAAGCAACTTTCGCAGTGGTCGGTCATTGGATGGGTGACCAAAAATTTACTATCTCGAGCTCCTCAGTGCTTCGGAAGGCACGTTAAGCCGTTGGTCCCGGCTGCATTTGCAGTCGTGAGCACCCACCAATCCGCACTGGGCCCGCGTGGTGGGTCATGGCCCAATCTCCCTATTCCATCCATAGGGAAGGCCTGTGCCCCAGCAGTGGGGACATTAATAGGCTGATGATGATGATGATGATTTCAGTTTGCAAACTATTCGAATTCGATAATGGGTCGTGCTAGGGGACTGATAACATAAATTAGTCGTTGTTTTTTTATTAAAGAATTACTTATGTATGAGTGACAAAAGAGAGAATAGCTAATTTTAAAGTCAAAATCTCTACTCACTTTTAATAGTCGGGGTGCCCAAGTAAAATAAGCAATAAATCATAATGATTGACTTGTCGTAAGTTGGATGAGCATAAAAACATTGATATAGGGAGTTAACAAGCTCAAAAATATGGTTTATTGTTTATCTTTAAACTAACAATTAGCGTGAGGGCGTTTGTTCAAAATACGATTTCTATCCGGGTCTAGGCACGGTTATAAACCGTGTCTACGTCCGGTCTTCAGTTAGGTATGGGACACTATAGAAGTTTGTTAATGACACCGGCGCTAGCGATGACATGAGGTCGGTACGAATCGTGCTAGTTACTAAGCTTAGCAGGCACCGGTCCGGCTAAAAACGGTACCTAAAGCCAATGGAAAACGGTCGATAACTAACACCCTTATTTTGAAGTTATTTTGTGCTACATTTATCGAAGAAGGCTATTAAGGGCTTTATAGCATCACGCTACAACCAATAGCAATAGAGTATCAATGAAAACTGTTGCAAAAACAAGGAAAAATATTATTTTTGAAATGTACTAGGAATTTTTCCTCCAATTAACTTTGATGAAACCACTGACTGAGGAGCTCGATGGCACCACCATGTTAGCGCGTTCGGCTGCGATCGTTGAAGTTAAGCAACTATCGCAGTGGTCAGTCATTGGATGGGTGAACAAAAATCTTTTATCTCTTGCTTCGGAAGGCATGTTAAGCCGTTGGTCCCGGTTGCATCTGCAGTCGTTTGCACCCGCCAATCCGCACTGGGCCTGCGTGACCAAATCTTCCTATTCCATCCATACGGAAGCCCTGTGCCCCAGCAGTGGGGACATTAATAGGCTGATGATGAAAACTACTACGGGTTTAAAACGCGCTTAATACTTTTAAGCATATGTCTACGTTTCACATCCTCTAAACCTGTTTTATAATGAGTGTTGTGATTGTGAGTGAAAACTTTTTAAAACTTTAGAAGAAAGAAAAAAGTTTTTTAAAAATTTCTGTTACACTTACCAGGTTCACACTTAACTTGCGAATTGGTATCTTGGGAGTGCTTCCTTTTCTTCGTACTCGGTTCTTGTAGACTTGTGTACACAGGCGCCAAGCTATCATGTCCCAACGCAACCATTTGCGGATTAATAATTCCCTGATCCAATTCAGGCATGTCCACCCTCATCTGAGTGTACCTCTGATATGGGTCCAATCCTAAATCCTGTCTGACTGTTCTTATTCCCAATTCCACTATATTAGGGTCCTGTGGTAATACAACTACATCGTTCAAGTTACTCCTCAAAACATCATGGTCTAAATTGTCAGATTTCAGTTCTTCATAAATATATTCGCCTTCGGGTTGTAGGATCTCATGATTGGCTATGTGGTCGTGTACCAGCATGTAGTCTGGGCCGAGTACTGTCTGGGACACGGTGATTGTGTGGGGTACTTGCTCCGATGGGCTGTAAGGGTTCTCAGAACCTGAGTCTGGTGGACTCTCTGGTAATTGGTGACCCCTGGGAACAAAGTTTACATATAATTTTGGTATAGAAAACGCAAATACGTGTTAATAATGTGTTCGTTCTTATAAAGCTATTTGATGTTATAATATTTATATTTTAAGCACTAGATTAAGCTGATAGATATTAGAAATCTAAAGATAATTTTACTACAGAAAAAAACCGCTTGGTTCAGTTTTTAAACGAAATTCGAACCCGTAACTTCCGCTATCCGGGCGGTGGATATTTTTCTAGTAAAATTTTCTCACAACAACAACAGCATATAGTCGTTTACTAAAAATCATTGTACGTTTCCCAAATAAATTCTTCGCTCGTAAACGAAACGTATGTAATTTCGGATATTGCGGATTTTTCCCTCAAATTACAACGCCCGCCTGGGGAAGTAACTTCCACCTTACTACAGAGAAATAACACTACCTTTTGGTGATGTTTAGTTTCTGTCGGTGAGTTTCAGGGCTTCACGTGGTATGGGATTTTTTTTTCCTTTGTCTTAGGTTGTTAATTGGGGTTGTTTTAGTTAAATTTCTTGGTTGGTTATTATTAAAGTTGTCCTAAAATCCTACCTGAAGCCGCCTTTGATACAGCCAGAGGTAGAAACGTTAGCCGGGGGATAGAACGAAGAAAGATTTAAGAAGTAGAAACGAAAGAAGGCTTATCGAGTATAAAGAAAGAATAGGAAAAGGAAAGGTGTTTTTTTTTTTTTTGTAATTATTGCATGGGATGTTGATAAGCAGGCGGGCCCCGGCCTGACCAGTTAATGAGAGGAGAAGGGTCCTCTCATCAAGCGGCCGGGCCGGGGCCCGTGGTATGGGATTAGGTCAAGGTAAGCAATGGCGTGAATGATATTTTTAGTATCGTAAGCATCTATAGGCTGTTGTGTTTGTTTGTCGCCATTTTAACATTAAAAAACGAGTGTGCTTACACAGGACTGGCACACACCTGTATGTATATATATATCTTAATATATATAAATCTCGTGTCACAATGTTTGTCCTCAATGGACTCCTAAACCACTGAACCGATTATAATAAAATTCGCACACCATGTGCAGTTCGATCCAACTTGAGAGATAGGATAGTTTAAATCTCAAATTATAGTCGCAATTTTAATTTATTGCAAATTATTACTTTTGGGCGGTACGAAGTTCGCCGAGTCAGCTAGTATATATATATACATGTATGTACATATACATATTTCATTTACTATCTACAAGAGAAAGAGAACAAAAAAATTTGCGCGCGCACTGCTTTCTCTAGATAATAGGGATACTAGTGGCCCGCTATCGCTTCGCTTCGGTGTAGAGCTGTAGTGTAGACTGTAGTTTTTGTTCTTAGGCTTGTATTATACACAATGAAATTCTCCTAATACCTAATTACAATAGGCACGCGCCGCCAAGCCCCCCACCCGGTAGCGTTGGAACCGCTATGTCCCTGCATTTTAAATCTGTAATATCACTTATACTTCTCGGCAACGCTGGTTCATAGAGACTACCGCGCCGGTTACCTGCACGGGCCGGTTCCTATAAGCGCTGGTAGGCTGCCAGCTTCCCTTCTGTATACGGCCTTACGTAGGAGTAATTAATAATATCTCACCCTATCCGGCGCGCGTCCAGGGGCTGCTGCGGGTAGCAGCCGTCGCCCACGGGACCCATGAACGCCTCCAGCTCGTCGATCAAGCCCGGACCTGAAATAGGAAGACAATACATGTCATTATCATTATCACCAGACTATAAATGCCCCCATTGCAGGGGCACATGCCTTCCTAATGGATGGATTAGGGAGATTGGGCCATGGCATTACCCACCACACGGGATTAGCACGGACGAGCTCGAGATAAAAAATTTTTGGTCACCCATCCAATGAGCGGCCACTGCGTAAGTTGATTAACTTCAACGACCGCAGCCGAACGCGCTAACCACTTGCGCCATCAAGCCCTTACAAGTAGCGTTGTTCATTTGTTTCTATTTCAAAAGGACCGTCCGGAAGCTGCTCGCCTGACAGAAAGAAGGAATCTACCCGGAGGTCGTCGTTTTTGATGACAGAAAAACATTAATCTGCCAGTTTGCATGGTGCTTGAGTGGCCGTACGAAGAAGTGGAAAATAAGAAATATTTATCTTCCTGTTACTATATTATATGTTATACACAACACATGCTAATCATGGTGTTATTACATGGAGTCACAATTTTTTACCTTAAAAAGTTAAGTGTGTAAGAGGGAGACATACAGTAAATAGTATAAGGCGGGTCGCACACAACACATACAATTGTATTACGATAATTGTGGCGCCACATTTGAAATGCGCCACATTTAACGCCCTCACATATCTGCGTGTAAGCACGCACACCAAGGACACATTTATACCTACTACTTCTACTCTACGAAGGAAGAGGAGATCGTAGAGTATCTGCGAATCAAGACGAAGTCGCACGGTTGGAATCTCGCCATAATATGAATTTTAATTCATTCGTGGTGAGGGTACCAACCGAACACCTAGCGAAGAACTCTATGAAAGAAGAGCTTTGGCCGAAAGATGTTGTGTTCCTGCGTTTCCGAGGCCGGATACCGGACAGACACCACTTTGCGTCACACGTTGCCGTCAATACGTGTTCATAATGTTTTACTAACATCAGTATTAAGCTGGCTCCATCTTATTTACATGAAACTTGTACTAAAGTTGGGACCGCAGCCGACCGTGCTCAGTTTCTCAAGCGTCGTAAATACTCTTCTATAACTGAAGATTATACTTCATGCTTCGTCCTCGAGATTAGCTTGAATTACACATGTAGTACGCGTAGCACGCGCCATTTCACACTATGTTGAGAATATATAAACTAAAAAGAATAAAATTATTAGTTTTTTTTTCTTTTCTTTAAATTTGGAATATGGGTAAGCCCTAGCGCCTGTCATAGCTGCCATTCGCTTTTTAGTGTGTCGTCGTTTCACATCTAGTTTAATTTAAATTATGTTAAAAGTGATTATTTAGGATGCTTAAACGTAAAAAAGTTAAATATGAACACATTAAACGAAAGATTAGAAGATTGGAGAGAAGCCTTCGTATAATTAGGATAGAACTTCACTTCAGGTAAGTTCATTTAATCTCTAATTATGAGTATGCGGCGTTAGCTTTCGAGACGTTATGGTAGTGATCGGCTGACAAGAAGCGGTTTATGAAGGATATGTCGAATCGACTGTTTCTCTCTTCGGGTGATCAGAGAGCTGGCAGCTATTTCGCTCAGAGAATCAGTTTAGCCATTCAACGAGGTAATGCTGCCAGTGTTCTGGGTACCATGCCCCAAATTGGAATTTCGGATGACATATTCTTCTTGTGAATATGTATATAAATATTTTAGGGTTAATTTTTAATGATAAGATTTTAGTTTGATATTGTTGTGACGTAATTATAGTAATTAGTTTGTTTATTTACTAATTATGATGTTTTATATCTGTACATATGTTAGACTTTAAGGTATGTATCTATAGGCCTACGTTGCCTGACTATAAATTAATAAATAAAATAAAATAGCGGCTGCATTTAGTAGAGAGACGAAAGCAAAAATGTAGCGTGCATATCGTGGCAAGGTAAATGTTGCGTGTGTGTACCATGTGGCTCCGGTTTGCGGCCTGCCTGAGCATGCTTGTGCGTAAAGCGTGACAAAGAAAAAAAATAGCATTAATGCTACAAACGCTAAACACTTGTTTCGTAATCGTTGTATAGAAGTCGATGTAATCAATAGTTATGTAATGGAATTTGAAGGCTTATCTTAAGATATACCTGAAAGAAAACTGCATTTAAATGATAAAAAGGAAAATCTATTATCATTATATTTGTTTAAGCATTGACGGCTAGATGTTTAAATGAAAAAAAAAATGTGCGTGTCAGCTCCGACGCACGACTGGAGTTTACTCCTTAAGTTCGATAGTCTAACCAGACGCAAAAAGAGTTTATTTAACTTAAAAAATATTGATACTAAGAAAGGGTAAATTAACAAATTAATGAAAATAATATACATAAATAAATATATATTTTTTCATTTCATATACATTTTACATTAAACATTTTACAATAGTCAATTTCAGATGTGCATAAATATATTATTAGGAATGTTGATAAATTATGTAATTATTATTATCAGACTATTATCATTTTTTTAAATATTAATTAAATCAACATTGTCTGTATTATTAATTACAGTGACAAGTGGTTTATGGTAACTAAAATAAGACACATGGACGTTCGTAGATACGTGGTGCACGAATCTTGAAAATACCGCATCAATGGTTGTACCATACCTCGTTGTCCCCATTGCTCTATCAGAAACAATATCTAAATTCAGTTCAGATTTTAAAAATTTTATTAATGTCAATCCGTCATCTTTGTTTGCCAAAGTTGCGCAACATAGGATGCGCACCAAAAACGTAACGAGGTCATTCATCGATAGATTTTACTCCTCACATTTTTCTCATACCGGGCCCCTTATATATGCAAATCGATTCTTAAGGAGTAAACTCCAAAAATGCTAAAAAACTTCGCGGTCCAAACATCAGACAGGAATGTTATGTGCGAATTTCCTATAGTTTATTAATAATCCCAACTCTCTTGTTTAAACGACAATGAATACAACAACAACAACAAAAAAATGCGATTTTCGTGACCACGGAACCTTGACGCGTTACACAGGCAGTCATTGACACTGAACATTTCAAACGACAGTGAAATTCCAACCGGTACTTACGTTAAAAACATAACAACTATAAGCTATAAAAACAACTCCGTAAAGAGAGAAGAAACATATAGCCATGTTGTCTTCACGCTTCGTTGATTTTTGTATTGAAAAATCCAGCAAATTCTTAGCGGGACTCACAATTTATTTAGACCTAGGATAAAGGACCCAGCTATGTCTGGAGACATGCAGACAGACCAAACTTGCTAAACGTTTTCGAAAATTATTGTATCTGATAAGAACCCAAACTGTAAACATATCCAAATCTATATATATAAAACTCAAAGGTGACTGACTGACATAGTGATCTATCAACGCACAGCCCAAACCACTGGACGGATCGGGCTGAAATTTGGCATGCAGGTAGATGTTATGACGTAGGCATCCGCTAAGAAAGGATTTTGATCAATTCTACCCCCAAGGGGATAAAAAAGGGAATGAAAGTTTGTATGAAACTTTGTCAATTTTAAACCGATCGGGCTGAGACTTTACATGCAGGTATAAGAAGAATCATAGATGAATGTCATTGTGTATAATACAAGCCTGAGAACAGAAACTGTAGTCTACACTTCAGCTCTACACCGAAGCGAAGCGAGGGCGGGGCGCTAGTTTAATATAAATTCCATTTAACCTAGTGTTTTAATGCATTTTTGTTTTAGTTTTTAGTTTAGTTTAAGTTTCTTGAATATGTAATGGTTATTTATGATATTGGTGTGGTGAGTTGGTTGTTGCAGGCGAATAGACGAATGTAAGAATTGTATTAAATATTCTTTAGTTATAGTGCCAGTGTAATACTTTTTATATAATATACGTATTTACGTGTTTTTGTTCATGTTGAGTTTGCCAGTAATTGTTTTTGCACTATGCTGAAAATTGTTACATATAAGTGTGATTATGTAAGTTAAGGTGTAAAAATGTTGGCAGACCTTTAATGACTAAATAAATAAATAAATACCCCGGGTGAACATATGCCCCCATCTAGCGCTGCGCATGGCAGCATGGTGCTATGACTGGACATGGCACTTTTAACAGACATCTTTTCAACGCCGTTTTACCGAATGCGTCATTAATGGTGCTGATGGAACTGATTAGTTTGCACCATTTATGGGGCAGACGAACCGAAGTATCTATAGATAATGTCGTCTGCACCATTGTGATGATACCTAGTCAATATACTTAATATTCAGCTCTCAATGAGAGTTACATATTTGTGCCGTTTGGTGTTGAGACTATAGGTCCATGGGGTCGAAGCGCTCGTTCCCTTGAAAGGAAATGTCAAAGAGCTATCTTTGTCAACGGATCGGCCTGACCATTCAACGTGGCAATGCCAATGCTACCAGCCTATTGAATCTTAAAAATACCTGACACCTGTTACTTAAACTACATATACAAGAAACCTGTTGATGAATTTATATACAATAGTACTTGTCGGTAAGACAAGTCAAGTCTTCACGTCTGGACTTTACCATCACTTAACATCAGGTCGGGTGGAGTCATTTGTCGGAATTATCCATAAAAAAAAGGAATTATTTTAGTTCTCTTTACTTCCCTTCATCATCAGCTTATTGATGTCCCCACTGCTGGGGCAAAGGCCTTCCCTATGGATGGAATAGGGGGATTGACCCACCACGCGTACCCAGTGCGGATTGGCGGGCGGGACTAGCAATGCTCACATATTCTCAAATCTATACATTTATACATCAGCACCATCAGCCTTTTAATATTCCCACTGCTGGGGCACAGGCTTTCCAATGCGGATTAGTGGGTGTTAACGACTGCAGATGCAGCCGGGACCAATGGCTTAACATGCCTTCCGAAGCACAGAGGAAATCACGATAGAAGATTTTCACCCATCCAATGACCGACCACTGCGAAAGTTGCTTAACTTCAACGATCGCAGCCGAACGCGCTAACCACCCGCGCCATCGAGCTACGCTATCGATAAACCCACCTGCCCCTAC